TTTTTTTTTTTTTCTCTTTTAATGTAGCCATAAGTTGCTGGCCTTTGGAAACACATAAATATGGAAGTGATTAGTGTTCCTGGCTTTGTGTGTGAGCATGTAAGTGTGGTGTTTCCGAGCAGGTTAGGATGCCGGGATACCTTTGCATTGGTTGGCGTGTGCTGCGCTGTGGTCGGTGGTGAATGCCAAGTGGTGTCGTCATTCTGCTCGGGATACTGCAAGTCTAAACCAAATGTATATTGCAATACGTTGTGATCTGCTTGTCTCTTGCTAGTTAATGATATTTTTACTTCCCTCCTTTTGTTTTATATGCTTCAGTCAGTTTTCRTTACTTCAGGCCCTGCAAAAATACACTGACTACATGTCTTCTGAAATGGAGACCAGAATTGATCCTACTTCTGGCCCTAGGCTCATAAAATGTAGAAAGAATGTTTCCTTTATACCAGGATGCAARCAAGGAGATGAGGAAAATGGATATCTATATCCAGATTTGGAAAAYGATGACTTGTTCGTTCGGAAAACTGGGGCTTTCCATGTGAATCAAGTTGTTCTTCAAGACCCACGATATTTTAAAAAATTCTCTGAGCAGGAGCCTCCTCTAGAGGGTGAGATAATTCTGCAACCCCGAGAGGGCCAAACTGTGATTCCAGATTTGGAAAAGGATGACATGATTTTTCGTAAAGTCCTCTTTCAGAARAAAGAGGTTCCTTTATCAGGTGCTCCTGACAAGTATCACCCAGCACTGTTTCCGGATCCSTGGAGTCTTCCAGAAGAGATCCGGTCCAAATTTCTATGCTTACTTGAAAAGAACACGACACCAGAGGAAAGGAAGAGCAACGGCAGAGTGCTGTCACCATCTTTACACCATAAGAAGGAYGATATGCTGACCCGCAAGATTGAATCTTGGAAAGTGGGAAGCAACGTCCAGCCAGTAAATTTTATCCCAGGTCCCTGCAGTGAAGAAGACTGGAAGAAGTGGGAAGCAATCAGGGAGGCCAGCAAAGTTAGACACAAGAAACGGCAGATGGTGGAGAGGTCAGGTTGTGTCCTGCACAGATTGAGTGCTCTTGAACCCTTTCCATTCAGAAAAGCATCATCCTGTGCTGAACCATTCGTAGAGTGTCAATCTGCTATTTGTTCGTGTTGTCCTTGAACAAGCTTTTTATTTGCTTTGAATAGAAGCTCATGACTGCAATACCATATTTTCAACAAAAAATTATAACGTTTTCAAGTTTTAGGCTGCCACTTTGGAGAAAAATAACCATTCCTTCAATCTCAAAGTTCTGCATAAGTTTCTTTCCATGGTTGAACAGGAATAGTGATTATTCAAAAGACTGTGGAGGCTAAAAATATTTTCTTTTATTCTGCAAGATAATAGGTAAAAATGTTTTTGAAACACATGAATRCTTTAAAGACAAATTCTGGAAATGGGCATTCAAATATTCTTGCTTGCACCTAAGTTTAAAAATGCTTGTAAACTGTTCTGCCACAGKTCTGATGATCAGATGAGGTGGAAAAAGATGTTTTGCCTGCCCAAAGTCATGGTGCATGCAAGTTGTGTGTCTGTGTAATAACKAAATTTCACCATGGCGTATTTTATTCTGCCAATACTATCCCCCTTTCATACAKTCTTGATTCATACTTTCCCCTAATTCTTTCCTGGTATCCTCAAAATGTCACTTGTCTGACTGAATACTGTTTCTTRAGTATTTCCTATCTCTCCTTTGAATTTTGTGTTTACTGGGGGAGAGTGGGGTTTCAAATGTTTCCTTAGCTCTGAAAATACGGCATTGCAAGTTGCAGTTCTGTGCATCATTTCATTGTGACTAAGACACTTCTGTGTTCCAGTTGATATTTTGATGTTGCTGCATTTAGTTTTTACGCTTAATAATGTTAACAAAGTTCGAGCTTCACTGAGAAATATTTCTGAAGTGCTTGAAAATATTGCATGTTTTCAAAATTTATTCAATAGAATGAAATAGCTATATTATAAAATACTCATAATTCAAGAATATAAAAAAWTCTCTTGAATTTCCCTGGATTAGTTGTGTTCAAGGTGTAATGTGTTAAACTTCTAGGTAGGGTTTTTTATTTTTTTACACATCAAGTATTATTTTAATTTAGTATCAGAAATGGTTGAAGTAACAGGAAAGCAACCTCTGTAAGCCACACTTCTTGTTGGACTCAAGTTGGCATTAATTTTAATTTCTTGAAAATGAGTCTCTCTTGTGCATGATGCTSTTCAGCAGCACTGGAATAAGGAGTGCAGAATTAATACAAGGCTCTAGTTGTCCAGTATTTCTAAATGAGAAGTGTTGGAAACTTGCAGGCAGCCTTGTTCTGTCAGTTCTGCCCAACTTTGCACATCATGCAAGTCCTGGTGTGTTTTTTGACTAGTGTCCAATTCCCGATGTGCTATTCCATGCTGGCTGGTTCCCAAGCTTTCATTTTCCCCATCACTTAGTGAGAGTGCTGGTCTACTAATCGTGTTAATGTTGTTACCAATATCAAGACACTGAATCTCTTCTTTCTTGGTTTCTGATTTCTCAGACTGTTTCAAAAGCTTTCTGATGAGCAAGGGTAAGTTTTATAAAAGCTTGAAAGATCATAATACTTTCTTTTTTGCCTCTTTTCATCTTTATGCATGCACAGTAGCTGAAAACTCATGCTGAAAACAACTCATGCATGATGCTTTGTTCTGTTCTTTGCAATTTATGTAATGAATGTAAGGGATAAAAGCTATGTATATGGCAAAAGTTCTCTGCYATCTGGTTTATTCAAGTTATGGTTATCAGGCACTTTGAAAATCAGCTTTAATATTTTATTCCTGCTGAGGTGAAGAATTTGTTGTTCTGTATTTAAATWAGGCTTTAAAACATTCAGAAGTTTAAAGGAATATTAACAAATATTTTATTTTGAAGGCTGTACAGCTAGAATCTGAAAATAATTAACAGCAGTGGTATTTATCATGGGATTAGTGATTGGATATGTTATATCCTCCAGGTTATTGAATGCTCAGTGTTAAACTTAATGGTTTGTATCATGGGAACTTAGATGTTGTTTATGATGAACTGTGACTCAAAGAGAAATGATTTTTCTATTTACTGTGTGATGGCATGTGAAGTATTTGGGAATGCATGGTGTTCTAATGATTTTATTTAATGTAAATGTATTARTTTATTTACTTCTCTATTTTCACCCTGAGGCAAACCTTGTAAATGACTAAACACTTCTAGAAGAAGCAAGAAATGTTTCACTGGAAGTTAGATGCTAGGAAAGTGAGACTCAGAAGACTCAAGTCACTAGTTAGGTTTTTCAGTTTAGACTGAAATTAAAGCTAAGATTCTGTTCCATTATATGAACATATGAACTTGTTTACTTAAGTTATATTTTATTTAGGTCTAGGTTTTCCTGTTTTGTTGCAGGCAGATATAGTAACTTGAGAAAGAAGTTGAAACTGTAGTTACATACATTTTCTTGAACTTGTCTGGAACAAATTTGATGCAACCCTTATGGAGAGTTGGGTTACCCCAAAACAGTTCTACATGTGATATAACTTAAGCATAAAAAATGAGGAAAAGAATTGCACAACAAAAGAGTTTCTACAATAGCAACCAGGCGATTTTTGCTAAATTTGGCACTCTTCTCATTCAGAAAATAAGACAAGCAAACAGATACAACATGTTAATGCCCAAGCCTTTATTTCTAGAGGCCAGAGGCCAAAGTCTGTACCAATGAAAGTGAATTTCGCCTCTTGGGAGGAAGTGAGAGTCTGGTTTGTTAGTTCAGAGATCTCTTGGAATGCAACAGATTAGAACATGGCTCTGTGCTGAATCAGTTTTGGTTTTAAYCTGATTTTCCAACATATCAGAGAAGTGCCACATTTTCTAGTCTTGTTAGAATTTAATTATACCCCTCTGTCAGTCATACTTTGGAGAAATGAAAATAAAGGTGTTTTTGAATACAAACAAACCAAAAAAAAACCCCAAATCCCATAAACCGCACTTTCCTTTTATATTACAGCATTTAACCTTATGATGAAACATCTGCATTTTGCTTGCTGTCTCAGAGGCTTGTGGTCAAATCTCATCAGGAATCTTGTCCTTTATCWAAACCAAATGTCCTGTTATATTTATCAATGTCATGTGAAAGAATAGGGAAGGGAAAAATAGCGTGGGGTGGGGGGAAGCATAAAAGGTTAACTTTGAGGAATTTAGGTTAAAAGGAACTAGTGAGTAGGAGTTCATGGGGGAACTGTAGCCATGTTGAAGAAGTTAACAGGAAGATGGCTGTGTTGGCCATCCCAGCTTGGATGGAAACTGTCATGGAGGCTTCGGGAGGACCAGCAAAGGCAGGTGGGGCCTGGGACATCCATGAACTGAGCATTTAGCAGCAAGTGACTCTTAATATTTTGGAAACATGCATCAATAACTGATTTAACTTTTTGATTAGCCTAAGGAAGGAAAGAACTGGAGATGATACTGGGGCTGCTACAGGACAGAAGTCAAAGGATGGRAATTTGGATTTGGGCATAGGGGATGCCTTTTGGGTCAAAGAAAGCAATGAGATCAATAAAGAGAATAACAAGCTTAAGCAGAAGTAGCAGTGGACTATGAGAAGCTCAATGTGAATGATCAGTGTGGAGATGTACAGAGCTGCTTGTTCCCTTAACCTGATTTTATTTGCTCAAATATCCAACTAATGACTTGAGTGCTGTCACTAGAGCACATCCCAGCCTTGCTCATTCAGCTGCCCTGTGTTTCCCGCTCCATTCAAAATAACACTCATGAACATTCAGTTGTACTAATATAAATCTCTGTCTCTCTCAGAAGGTTTCACTTGTGTAAATGAGAGTTAGGACATTACAAAGCTGAGCTCTCTTTTCCTCTTCTAGGAGTAAGTCTTTGAATGATGTCAGTGCTGAGGAGCTGCAGGCATTGCGCAAAACCCGTTATGAAGAGCTGCAAAGGATAAAAGAACAGTTACAAGAACAAGATCTAAAGTGGCAAGAAGTAAGGACTCCTTTTTGCCTCTCCTTGTGTGTCCTGCTTGAAGGGCTGGGTGTCACCTGCCTTCACTGTCCCTAGTAAAYAAGCTTTGGCATGTGTGCAGCAATTCTAAAATGATCTTTCTCATGCAGCTACTAGAGTTTTTGTGGATGTCTTTTTAATGAAGAACTGAAATTATTTTTAATATCATTTAGTTTCTGATTAATGCTTCAGGAYAAGACTTCTATGTATTGTAATAAAGCTTTCAGGCTTGATTTCTGTGGACATAAAGAAAAGTTAGGGCATGGTTTCATGTATTATCTGAAATTTTTGAATTTTTTTTTTTGTGAAATGATTGGAATGTCTGAGTATTTGATCCTCTGGGAGAAAGAGGAAGAAACAATACTTCCTTGTGCAGATTCTTGAGSCTCCTATCTCCTAATAATTCTGTCTTAAATCCAGTTTGTAAACTGTATGGTAGCTTTGCACAGTGTCATAAGTGTATCAATTTATTAAAATTTCAATTTRTTAAAATCTCTGCGTGACAATGAGTATCAACAAGAAGCTGAAATTAAAAACAAAGCACCAAACAAGAAGTTCATGGTTGTTTGTTTAACGCATCTCAACTATCTCAGTTCTAATATTCAGTACTTCCCTTAACTCAGCTCTGGTATTTCAGGGACAATATTGCCAGTTCACATTGCGGTTTTACAGAAATGCAGAAAATACAGAAAYATGTTTTCAATTTAGAATTTAAGGCATATTTATTCTTAAGCTAGTGTATCWGTCTAACATAGTAGTGATTTGGAGAAATAATTGTATCCTCAACACTAAAGCCCTCAACAAAGAAATACAGACAGCTTTTGCATTAGTTTTCAATTATTTGTCATTGGCTAAAGTATTCTAGAATAAAATTGAAATGTTAAGAAGAGGAGAAAAAAGGGTAAAATGACATATAGTCCAATAATTACAATTGTTAGCTTAAGAAGGCAGTGAGCCTGCAACCCTAAGTGGAATATGAAAACCCCTTTATTATTTAGGGGAGAGGTAACGTGAAAATGTGGCTGTGATGCAGACATGCAAATAAAATCAGGGCAATAAGTAGCATGTAATGGGATGCCTCTGTAAGTCTATGAGGYCTTGAGAAAATCTGATGGTATCGATTCATGTTATTCTAATAGGATCTAGCAAAATGGAAGAGTCGTAGAAAGAGTTACACTTCAGAATTGCAAAAGAAAAAGGAAGAGAGAGAAGAAATTGAAAGGAGAGCCTCTGAAGCATCTGAAAGGAATACCAAGTCACTGAAAGAAATGCAGCGGGAGAGGTAATGATCCTAATGGGACTATTATGTTGAAGAACATAAATCTGAGCGTTTTTATTCCTTTGAATTCTTGAGCAGCTCTTACCAGCAAGTTGCAATTGATTCTGCAGAGGTCTTAACAATTTTAGTTGCAAAATAAAATGTAGAAATCTAGGCAACTGAAGGGCTGAATATGGTTTTCTAATGCACTGTTTGCACAGACTGTTGAACAGTTTTGSTCTATAAATATTTTACTTTGCTATCCATAAATAATAGTACTGAGAAGTCAATTATTTGAATTTGACTTACATTAGGTAAAACAATAGTGTTTAACTGGATTTCTTTATTTTTTGCTTAATTTGTGAGGACAAAAATTGCTTTAATAGAAGTATGATGCTAATTATATTGAACATGCAGTATCAATAAGAATCTTAAAAATTGTGTGTTTATGATTATCCCTGTAGTGGTTGTTCCTTTTTGACAAAGGAATGAATCACAAAAAAAAAAAAAATTAGCTGAACTTCAGGGCACCATCTTATTTAGTTATCTAAAATTCAACATAGCATTTTCATAGAGCAGAAATATTGAGSAGAGTTACACAGTTCAGGCAGTATGATGGGACTACCTTATTCCTGTTCTTCCATAAATAAAATCTGAATTTACCTGAATTTCTGAAGAGCTGTATCTTGAATATGTAATTTTCTTGGCAAAGGCTTCTGTCATGGTGGGAGCCTGATAATTGATAGTAGTATGCCTGAGCATTATGAGAGTGCTGAACTGGGGAGGAGGTGGCAGAAGGTACATTTTAAAAAAATGTTAAAATACTCATACATTTAAGTGATGCTATTAGTTTTCATTTACTGGAGAGGTATTATTTGGCTTGTGGTCTGCCTTAGAAATTCACTTGTCAAAGACTTTAGGCCTGCCTGGTTGTTAGGTCGCTTTGGTATTTTAACAGGCTCTGTTCCCGCAGGGARGAGAGAGATCAAGACTCCGATGAGCAGCCGAAACAGGAGCACAGTTGGTCATATTCACTGAATGATGATGTGTTCAGTGAAGAAAAAGCACCTTCCACAGGTGCAGCCAAAGATTGGTCAGCAGCCAAAGATTATCGTTTGGAAGAAGATACTTCCTACGGCACTGAGGACAGCAAAAGTGTGTACACCACACAAGCACCCAAGGAGAACCTGCCCGAGAGCTCGGCTGCTCGAGAAGCTCCTGCGCTGCCGGACAGCCTGGCGGAGCAGCAGGAGCAGCGCCCGGCTCTTTTGTCCATTCGCTACTCAGTGAATACTCAAACTGGGTCAGCTCGGGTTTCAGCTTCTCTCCCGAGAACTTACCAGAAAACTGATACCGCCAGGTTAACATCTGTGGTTACACCAAGACCTTTTGGTGTCCACTCAAGAGGAATCTCGTCACTTCCACGGTCGTTCACGGTAAAATTCCGCTGCATTCCTGAAGTTTGTAGACGTGGGGTCTTGAATAGCAGGGGGAGGAGTAGAGTTTTAATGTTCTGGTTTTTTTTTAAAAGTGTCTCCTGTGTGATAAAGGCTGTGTTAATAGAGCAGGCAGTTCTGTCATGGCTTTAGATGTTTAYTTGTGTTTCTGTGCTTAAACACACTCCTGGAAATAAAGCAGGTAATTATATTTGGTAAAATATTYTTTTTATTACTTGTAGTAAGTCTCCTTAGTGTGCCTTATAAAAAAAAAAATGTCATTGGATGTAATTATCTGGAGTCAGGTTAACATAATTAAGTGTTAAAGATAAATTTTTCAGATKATAAATTTCCTCTGCACTGCTGACTTTGTTGAAATTAAAATTTTATGCTAGCCTAAAATTTTTCTACCCTACAAAGCACTGAAACAATGAAATTGATTCTCCCTCACCCCATTACTRTGTTGACTTCCATAGTTTTCTCCAAAATCCTTATTTGTCACCATTTAAAAAGTGGTGASAATGCAAATAATTCTAAGCAKATGACTTCAACAAATTTATCTTTRAAAGTCTGGACTACTTGTTCTGCARGCATTTCAAGAGAAAAAAATATGTTTYTCTAAGTAGATAATTAGCAATGGGTACAGGAACCAGAATTTGCCTCAAAGGGAGAGRTGGTTTTGTTAAATATAAAGATCACTGAAAGACTGAAAGACTTAAGGATTTATTTTTTAAAGCACATATTTAACAAACTGCCATTTTTGTCCTAGATGGATGATGCTCAGAAATACAACGGAGAAGTAGAAAAAGCAAAAAGAACTCAAACTTTGTTCAGCAGCCTTTCCTTTTCACAACCAGATTCTGCACACCCTCTCTCCACTGGTGCATTCAGAAGCAGAGGTGAGGAGGAAGAGGAGGAAAAAGGTGGYGTTCAGGCAACACCTCCTCCTAGTTTGTCATTACCTTTTAAGTCCCAAGGCCAAGATGCTGGAAGCAGTATTCCTAAACCTCCTGACTCTTATTTCACTTGTATCTTCTGCAGAACCTGTGAGTCCGACAGAGCCTAAGGATTCGAAATCCATGGTAAGTGTGGAAATAATGTGATTACTTGGTGTGACTGAATGCCACAGCAGAATAAAAGATAAGTAAAATTGTGTCTAATGCAAGTATTTTGCTGGTACTAAAAGGACAGCTTAGAGACTTGCTATTTCCTTTCATTTAATTTAAGGGAAAGAGAATATTTGGGGAAAAAATTACTCTCTTGCTGAATTTTTTTTTCTACCCTTTTAATGTCATGTGCTTAGTTTTATTTATCATTTTACTTCAAAACAGTTATTCTGCGTATCATTTAATGCTTGCAAAGTTTTTTGTTATTCTCCAAATTAGCACATTGTGCATACAATCAGGTATGACAGATGAATTATCTGAGCTGCTGTAGCATTCATTTGCACTTTTAAACTGGTGGTGGAAAATGAAGATCAGCTTTTCAAAGGCTGGTCATAAGCATCAGTATCATACTATTCYTTTTTCCATCTGTTGTGTCTTGAGCTTTTTTTTTTTTTTAAAGCTGCTTACTTGAATCTACTTAATATTTACATTAATTTTGAAGTAAATCACCTTCTCTTTGTACATGTGCTTATCCAGGGGTTGGGTCTTTCAGCATTTTTTTTTGAAATATCTATCTTAAGTGCTGTTTCCTCCAGTTGATTGCATGTTTCACCAACAATAGCTTTAATATTTGCTACCTTTCTGTTCATAACTCTTGACAGATGCAGTTCATAACTCTTGACAGATTTGCATTCCTGATGCTGCTGTAAAACTTAATTGTGCCAATTGCTTGGGTGAAGGTCGTAAGACTTCGGATGCTGATTTAGGAAATGACTTTTTTTAACCATCTTTCTAGAAATTCATTCACTTCCAGACATTCTTSTTCCTAATCACTTGTGGAAAAGAAACACACTGCAGTTTAATACCCCTGATACCTCTTGGCCATTGTAATGAATTGATCATAATTGTTTGAAAGTGTTRTTGCTGTATAAGGAAGGAGATAATGCTTCTTTTTTTTTCTGTGCTGTAGCAAAAATGGGCAGARGAATTTCTGTTTTAATCAGTGAAAACTGATAGATAAGAGATGAGTTCTTAGTAACTGTTAAGCAAGGCAAATGAGAATAGCATGTACTAGGTCCCTATATTTTTTCCTGTCATTAGTTTTGAGATTATAAATTGTTCCTCCTAGAAGTGAGTAATGTGTGAAGGGTTATTAATTTTTTTTTTAAAGTTAAAAAACTTGGTTTTGTTACAACTTAGTAAGCTGTAAGTTAAGGAATGCAAGTTCCATTTGATGTGTTTCCATTTGTGCTAGAAAGATTGGTGTATAGTTCACCAGTCATCAGGACAATAATGCCACATCTGTGAAGCACTGTTTTAGAGATGATCTATAAAAATTACAAAGTTCAGTGTACAAAGTCGCATTACTCCTCTGAAAAGGGATAGGTTTGAAGAGTCATGCTGTGATGGTGGAAAAAAAAATTAAGACCACCAATAATTTCCAGGAACACACTCCAACTCCAAAGGTTTCTATCTTCTCTAGCCCCATGTACTAATCTGTTTAGTAGATTTACTTTTAATATACTCACCTACGGACTTGGATTGCATGGGAGGATTTGCAGGCCAGTAGCTGTGTTATGAAGAAAAGACTTAATTTCTACCCTGGGCTGGAAYAGGGAGTGTTTTCCCAGAAACATTCCTGTAACATGAGACGATACCTTGGAATGATGTCGTGCAAAGTTGTTTCTTTCTGTATCCAGTGCTCAGGTACTGCTGAAGCCACTTCTGGCAGCACCTCCGGAGACTCTGGCTGGCTGCATCTGCTTGTGCAGTGCTTGCCGTAGCTTCCTGTTGCATCTTACCAGCACAGGAGCTTGGAGGAATTGGCATAAGTTTCCAGACTTTTAAGTAYTTTAACTTAGGGAGAATGAATCCCACTCATCAGGAAGGCTGGTTCACTAGGGAGCTAAAACGTAGGTGTACATTTAACACATGTAAAAATTTGCAGGGTCTCTTCCGTGCACATTTTTCTGGAATATATCTATTTTAGCATTGTTTAAGAGAAAAATCTGTAATTTTCTTTTCCTTTTATATCCATGTCAATGTCATGCTAATGAAGTGCACAGCATGCATTTGGGTATTTTAATTGTTTTTAAAGAGTTCACATTAAAATGTTAATGTATGCAGCACATGCTCATAATGTAGCGTGGGATTGAAAGCAAGTGYTACAAACTGTTTTCCCATTCAGATATTCTGGTTGTTCAAAATGGTAATGTTAGATTTTGATTCAGATTCTCAAAGCATCATGAAAGTCCATTAAAGTCAAAGATCTGGATTTAGCTGATTTTGGGATTAGTTTTATTATCTAMGGTCTCCATTCCAAAATCCATAGCAAGCTGGTTCTATTTCACACAAAATCAAAAAGATGATTGTGCACCCACCTAAACCTAGTTGCAGCATTGAGTGTAAAGGAAACTGATGATGCTCATGGTAGGATGTGTGAGGAAAAAAATAAGATTGATTATAGTTTTCTAGCTTTATCACATCTCTAATGCTCTCTCAAGAGGCAGTACACGGCACAAATTCACAAAACAAACCCCGAAGAATCATTTAGGTGTTTAATTTCCTCCAAGTTCTTAAATTTTTTAGCACTGTGTTATGAAACATTTAAAATAATAGAAATGCAGAGGGAAATTGACATGTAGGGAAAATAGAAATGTAAACTGAAAACACATCTATTTGAATAAAAAGCAAATGAGTTAGTTAACTGACTTCAATACTGTTTCCTTTGTCTGTGATGCTAATAATAGATGATTAAAGTGCACAATGTGAGCAGCCTCACTTGTTTAGAGGATAAACTTTCCCTCATTTAGATTCCTGTGATACCAGATACTGTAGTGTCATGTTTTATTTTTCAGGAACAGTACAGTGAAATGAGAATCAGTATAAACCAGAGACCTGGCCACAGTCGCAGCTTTGGGTTCACAACCAATTGGAGTTCCTCAGGAGCCATTGTACAGACTGTGGAAGAAGGTAAATTTGTCTATATGCACAAATTTTTGTTCTTATGTTTAGTTTCCAGAGGCTTCTAAATGAAGGTTTGCTTAGCATGCTGCTAAGAATGCTGCATACATTTTAAAACATCAGGTGTAGAACTGAAAAACCAGTATTTAGTTTGCTAATGTATTTCTGTGAATCCTCATCTCTTGAAACAGGTTGAATTCAGAAATACCAAAATGCATTTTCCTAGTCGAGRAAGGTATAATGATTATTTGTTCACCAAGCCTCTTACAGAACAGTATTTACAGGCTTACAGAACAGTATTTATAGACTTMTAATATCCAGATTGTTTCTTTCAGCTAAGTTTAAAATATTTCACTTCACATAGTTTGTAAGCACATGCAGAGGAAATTTAGGTGTTAATATTGTTTTTTCCATTTCTTCTTTCTTAATCATGCTGAATTTTGGAGACAAATCATCTTTTTAAGCAGTTGCAGCTTCTAAAGCTTTTAAATTGATTTTCAGTGCAAGTTTTTTTAGTTGTTTTAATGCTGAGGGAAAGAAAACTTTTTGTCTTGAGATGACACATATATAAAGTTTGTTTCTAACCTTTAATAGTCTGCAGAGAATAAGTTCAGTTTTCTTTAAAAAGAAAAGGGCAACAAAGCAACAAAAACCTAAGCAAGTCACATATAATGCTTGTTTTCTAAACAATGGTCTTTCCCAYTGCCAGTAATATTTGGGGAATATTGAATTGTACCCTAACACAAGATCATCCTGAGAAAGGAGAAATAACTGGAAACCTTTAATGTAGTTAGCCCTTTATTACGCTTTCCAGAGTGGAAAAAATACCATTTAACAGCACTTTATGAGCAGCCTTGATTTTTTTTTTTCTTTTCAAATTCAAGAAGTGAAGGGGCCTTTCTTAACTTACATCTGTGTATTTTTATAATTAGATTTGCTCTAGAATAACCCTGCTTGAGCAGGGAGGAYGGACCAGATGAACTGCTATGGTTCCTTCCAACCTGATCCATTCTGCTGATACTCACTTTGCCTGAAGAATAACTTTCCCTTTGCTTTCCCTGCTGCTACACTTCTGGTTTATTTTCCTTCCTTGGAGGCTGGGGTCTGTCTGTTTGCACTGCCAGCTGACAAGGAGAAATCTGAGGGTGGTAAATGCTGGTCATTCACAAAGGTCCACATGGGCTCTRTCCCCAGGGAGAAGGTGAAGGCCCTGTGGCTGTTGTCTTGGTTATGGTTGCTTTCCATTCTCACGAGAGCACAAAGAATCGATTGAACTGAGAATTGACTGTAATTCAGTGTTCTTGTGTACAGCCTATGTTCAACTTATTTTTTTTTTCCAGCAACTGGCTTATCTTGTATYCTCATTTAATAGCTGTTGCTCCCTTTGAAAAAGTGAAGGATGAAAGAGGTGGATGACCCACTGAAAGAGTAATATATGCTTTCAACTACGCACATGGGAATGTTGTATTTACTATTTTTGAGGATAAGTCATAGGATAATTCAGGTTGGAAGAAACCCTGGAAGAGCACCTAGAGCAAAACACTGATAAAAAAATGTCAGCACTGAATTCAGGCTGAGTGGCCTAGGGCTTTTACCCATACAGGTTTGAGACCCTCTGAGGATGGAAACTGTGCAGTCTTTCTGGGCCTTATCCTCTCAGAGTAAATTTTCCTCTCATACTCAGTCAAACTGACCTTTGTCCCAGTTTATAACCACTGTTCTGTGTYTTCCTGCCATAAATTTCAATAAAGAGCAGGCTTCCACTTCTCTGTGACCTCCTGGTATGTACAGGGCAGAGGTGCTCCTGTTAGGTGCTCCTGCAGCCTCTCTTCTCCAGGCAGAAAAAGCCCTTACTCCTTAGTCTTTTCCCACAGGGCAGTTGCTTCAGCCCTGACCATCCCAGTACCTTACCGTTTAACTTTCCCCAGTTTATTGATGTCTCTCTTACAGAGGAACACCAGAATAGGGCACAATATTGTCAACATGGTATAACAAGTACTGGGTGAATGGAATAGCCACTTGTCTTGATCTCTTGGTCATGTTAGTGTTCCTACAGTCGTGTTAGTTTTCTCCAGCACTGCCAGGGCCCCCCAGCCTTGCTCTCGATTCCATCAGTGCCCAGCCTGTACCATCACTGGGGTTAGCCCTTCTCAGGAACAGGACTCTGCTTTTGGCCTTCTTGAATGTCAGGTTCCTGCTCTCAGCAGCAGCCCTGCCCTCCAGTGTACTCACCACCCTCTTCCTCTGATAAGGTTGGAAAACTTGATGAGGGCGTGTTTTATCTCCTTCTCCTGCTTATGGGTGAACACATCAGAGAGGGCAGGTCCTGGGATATATCCCTGATGAGATCCACTTATAAGCWGCCTGCAGGCTGAGTAAGAACCATTAACCACTTCCCATAGAGCCTGACAGCCCAAACAGTTTTTTTTCCCATCTGGTCGTTCCGCCCTGTGGACAATTCCATCCCAGTTTTGATACCAGGATACTGTGGAAGATCATGTGAATGGTCTTATTAAAGACAGGGTAGATTGTATCCACCCCTCCCCTCATCAACAGAGATTTAGTCAATTCATCATTGAAGATAACCAGATTGGGCAAAAGGGATTTAGGCTTGCCAAATCCAAACCAACCATTCTAGTCACATTTTCCTCTCTCTTGAGCCTGGAAAAAGCATCCATGAATGTTTTCTCTGATTGTTTTGTCTTCCTAACAAGCTGTGTGAGTTTCTTGAGATGATACCCAGCATTTATCCTTTTTACTACTTACAAATGACTCTATATTCTACAAATGCTATTCCTAAAAAAAATTGCTAAAAAAACCTACTTGATAGGAAAGTTAATTTTTATAAATGTTCTCAAAAAGCTAAGTAAGAGGTAAGCTTCTAACATATTTCAGTGAGACTCATTTACTACATATAATGAAGGATAGTACTAATTTTTTACAGTTTACAACCTTCACACTAAAAATTAGGTAAACAGAAAGCTTTAAAGTCATTAATCTTGACGTTGTTCTGCCAACTTCCCTAGTGCCATATAATCTTTATTGTTTCAGTTCTTTCTCTTTCACTTTCCCTTTGAAATATTTTTTGATACTGTGTTGGTATAGGAGTGGATGTCTCTGATCAAACACAGTCATGTGGGACAAAGTAAATTTGACTCACATCCTTCCAAGTTTTTGTTTTTGTTTTTTTTTTTCCCAGTGACTGAGATAGTGTTTATCTATTTTAATAACAGCCGATGGGGTTCAGTTAGAGATAACTAAGTACATATGCAGAATGATTATTTGGTGGGTTTTGTTTTTAACTGGGGACTAGCAGGAAAGAAAAGTCTTTTACCTTTAGGGAAACCTATGAAAAACATAAAACCAGTATATATCTTATACTGTGAAAACTAAATCCTCTGTAGGATTTAGACTATAAAGAAATTATTATTAATTCCTGTAGTCTTTGAGGAGCTGGGCAGAGAAAGACAACTGGTGGCATACAACTTCTGTCACCTGAAATTCTGGCTAGTCTCTGTGGGCTTTTCTGTAGCTAAATTGGAGCAGAAGCCCACAATAGGCACCCTGGTTTGCACTCTTGGGAAGCCCTTTTGTCCTGAGACTGTGGAAGAAGAGCTGCTGGCAAAGTTACATGCCAAAAACTGAGTAGTGTGAGTTGTTCTGGCTGTTACAGGTCTATGTGTGCAGTTTAGAGGGTGCTGCCATTCATTCAAATCTATGTGGCTGGGGTTTGGTTTGGATATGGCTTTCTAATAACAGTACAGGAAGAGCCCTGCAATCTTGAACTCCCTTCCTTTCCTAAAACTGAACTGAGGTATGCTGTTCACACCTTTGAGCTGGGTCTAATCCATGGCAAATTGAGTAGAATGAGMACGACCTTTTTTTTGTTACTGGGGGCTCATTCTGTTGCAACTCAAGACAGAAATTATGAGTTTTGATGACTCTGCTGGAGCCTGAAGAATTCCCTCTATCATGAGCATAAGGCTTAGTCCAGATGTGGTCAAACTAAATAGTACTGAGTATCAGACATGATTCCAAATGTTATATTATGATATTGAAAATAGTAATTTCAGTATTAGTATCTTTGATAGTATTCTTAATAGTACTTTCCATTAATGGATTTGAAAATCCATAATGCTTTAACATCTCCCTGATTTCTAGAGATGCATGTTTTTTCGTTTAGCTATGGTATGTTTCTTCCATCCAGATAAAAACCCCACCTTTTCTTCTACAATACTGCTTAAAAACAATTGGTGTGTTTTGAAAATTTTACTAATAATTGCAAATCAAGCTTCTAGTCTGTGTTTTAAAAATAGTGGAGAAAAATATAATACGGAGCCATGTTCTTCTAGTGGAGTAACTAGTGAAGCTTTTTAGTGAAGTATGATGAATCAATATTTGGTGCAGTACTAGGAGATAGCATTTCTTAATTTCTTAACTTTCTCGTGTGTGAAGCCATTCGAATCTTTAGTGGATGAGCCATACTTACAGCAGCATTTCACTAATGAGTCAGAAGACTCTCAGGATGAAGCATATGGTATCTAAATTTTTCTGTCATACTTGTCCACATTTGTTTCTAATGTAATAGAGCATTGTTCTTGGTATATTTTAAGTACAATATGTGGGTTTCACTACTTATTTTGGAAAATACTTCCACTGTGTAACACAAACTTGTTTTATTAACATGAGCGTTTATTGTGCAATGCTTAACAATATTTTTACTTGGCTTTTCTATTTTCTATTCTGCAAAGGGAATAATTCTTAATGGAAAAACCATTCATATGTAATTCATACAATGTCTTGCTTGCAGAGTCTGAGTTTCTCAGCTCATTCACTTTGTGAATTAAATAGAGAAAAAATTTATAATTGGTCCTCTATGTTCTCTGTCCTTAGCCTGGTGAGATTGCCTGCCAGTGTGTAGCAGATGAAAAAAAGTATAAAGTGCAGCCTGCCTTGCAAAATATCAGTAGATTCAAAATCCAACCTGCCATAAAACCTGCTCTTAATAGATAAAATAAGTAGAATCCAGAGAAGTCTGGTGGTACAGCACCCAGCAATATTTTGAGTCCAATTACCAATCAATTCAGAGCTAGCAAACTATTCTAGCAAAGCAATAAAACAGCATGCTATTGTCTGTAGAGCTCAGAAAATGAACTGAGAATGTKAGAAAGGCAGTTTCTACTGGAATAAATGAAGTGCAGGCTGTTTTTTTGACAAATAAGAGGATTACCCAAACATTGGCTGAATTTCAGCTAATCGTTGGATACAGACATTGTGGCGTTGCCTCTCTCTCACTATCCCAGATGATAAAGGTGAGTTAGTGAAGGGAAGACTGAACCCAGAGGCAGTTTATAAAATGGGCTAGCCAGAATCTGAAGGCTTACAAATCTGGAAGACTGATTTCTTTATTGTTTTCATGAATTCTAAGTTGAAAAGCTACTTAAACACTGAGTTTACTGAGCTTATGTTACAGTGCAGTGAATTTTTCTAAGACTTTCTAAATATCCACCATTAGGCATTTCTTTGAATGATTTCCCAATCCACCCTCTTCCAATTGCGACTGTGAGGAAAAGAAAGAATATGAATAGAGACATAACTTTGTTTTTCTTCTGTTTTCTGCAGGCGGCCCTGCAGCACTTTGTCAACTGCATGTAGATGATGAGATCATTGCTGTCAACGGCACAAAGGTTTCACATATGGACCACAGTCAGTGGGAAGAGGCCATCAGCAGAGCACTAGAAACTGGAAACCTGGTCATGGATGTCAGACGATATGGAAAGAACGGTGAGTTGTTTCGTCGGGCAGATACTGTATGCTCTGTAAGGCAAATAAGCTTTGTCTCTGCTGTGCCTGACAGCTGAGAGTCCTCATTTCCCTTACAGCAGTAATACGTATCTAAGCTAAGTAGTTTGCCAGCGTGTCTGTTGCATTTTAACACAACTTGGCTTTTTTAACTGCTAGTGCATTAGAAATGTCTTGACAAGCAAATCTGAAAAACATTGAGCTACTGACCTCACTCTTGTGCTCTGGCCTGTTTCTGAGAGGATGGACAGGTAAAAAGGTGTGCAATCACCACAAAAGGGAATATAACATTTTCTTTCTTGCCATACCACCAAAATGAAGAGAGTCTGATCTCTAGAGGATAGTAATTTTTAAAGGCCCTCTCTCTTTCAGTCACCAGCTCCCTTTCTTCATGGAAGGAGGATCTTGTCTTCCTTTCTTCCGGGAGCGTTTCAAGTGAGGTGTGGTCTTGTGGGTGATGTAGCACCTGTGTGCTATGATTTTGGCCATTTACCCAAATATTATGGTGCTGTAATCTTTCCAGAATGGTACTACCTATTCTGGCTAGTGAGGATTTCCATCCTGGCTGACAGCCCTGTAGCATCTGTAGACTTGCCATGGGTTTGATCAGGAAACCCTTTCAAAGTTCTAGAATAATTTTTGTGGAGTTGGAAGTGTGACCAGTGACTTCTTTCACAGTATAAATGCAAAACATTCTTTTAGCGGGAAGCAAGGGTAGAATAAGTTACCAGTAAACTGGGGGAAAAACAGTGGGGTGAGGAAGAGGCAAGAAACAAATCACTTTATAGGACCTAATACAACTGAAGAGATTAGTGGCAAAGAACTARTTGAATAAAATTTTCAGTAGTAAGGGTAGGGAGGGGAGAAAGGATGGAGTATGTGAGAAGAGCATCATGTGTCTTTGCCTCATCAGTTTTCTGGTTTAGTTTAGACTAATTTTCCTTCCCCCTCTGTGCTTCCTGATGAGCATGGACATGAAAATGACCCTTCTCTGGATAGTGTATGAGTCTCACTGTACCTTGAGTGAGTAAGGTTGGAAGAATTTTCTCAATCCTTACTAATGCTAATGAAATTGTTTCCAATGAATGCTAACTGCTCTTTAATGTTCAGCTGCTGTAGTGCATATTAGCAAAAAAAATCTGGCAAACTTCTACCTGGCTTATGACTAACACTTGTATTTTTGGGGAAGGCGGTCTGCTAATCAATGCCCTTTTTCCTGTCTTCACAAATTCCACCTGATTTGTATGTGTCCCTCTTCTGTTATGTGTGTTTTTGTGTTATTTTAATGTGTTTTCACTAGCTCTTGTTCTGTTCTTTGACGTTACTRTCTGTATTAATTTCTTGATCCTCCACATACCAAAAAGATTGGGGCAAAGACCTGCCTTCCCTGCCACATGTAAGGCATAAAATCCTCAATCTCACCGGTATGGCTACCAACATTATAGGTACATCTGAAAATAAATGGATTGATGCAACTTCGGGAGAAAAAGTTTCAAATGTTTCCACTGTATCTACTAAAAGAGATTTCTCCAGCAGCCTCCAAAGTTCTGTGAGTATGTTTCTGAAGGTCATGGGATTTTGGGGGAGGGAGAAAAAGTGTCTTGATAGTGGCACAATGGAGAAAAGAACTTTTTAATCTTATGTTCCTTAAGCGATACAAGTATATAAGCAATACAAATTCCCTGCAATCTAAAATATGGAGATGTAGCTGTATATGTATTATAAATAATTTGTTTTAAAGACTTGCTACTGTCTATTGATGAGTGACAACTGGAGAATGATAAATATTAAAATGTGCAGACTATCTTTTGACTAAAACATATAGAGTGTTTATTCTTCAGAGAAGATTTTGACCGGCGTTATTAGCATAAATGGAAGCTGCAGCCCAAAAGAACAGGCATATATGTGCTTTCAAATTTCTTGTAAATAAAAACCTGCCTGCTAAGAAGCKGAAATAGGAAGATCTTGGCTTGTGGTATTTTCTTGCAAACTAATGKTTTTTATTTCTGCAGCAGTTCACAGCTGGTTGTTGATTCCCTCAAATGCCTGCAGTTGCTTTATTATGAACTACAGTGAGGAAGTTTAGATTGTTTTGTATCTTTCTGTAAAAATGTTATCAAGTGTTTCATGGTACATAGTTCTTGTCAGGAAAAATGAGTAATTGGATAAACTCCTACAAACCTAAGACATTTATTTATTTATTTATCTTCTTTCAGGATACAGAAACAAAATTGATAAATGGAATGCAAGGAGATCTTGGCTCWAACGAACAAAGAGGTAAATCACTGTTGGTTTTTGTCTGCTAAWTGTGTGGTTTGTGACAAGCACGGACACTAAACCTGTAATGACTGCAAGTGTTCTGCAGTGGGTGAAGTGAGACTTTAATGAACTGAAAGCAGGACAGATACCACAGAGATCTTGTTGCATCCAAACTGGGTGTGRTTTGCTTCCACAATGTGCCAGGCAGTTTGAGAACTGACAACAAAGCTGCAAAAAACCCCCTGCTCTCTGTGTTAGTGGCTGTAAATTTACTGTGTGGTAGTGGTGAAAGAGAAGAAGGCACCTGATTTACTGCAATTGCTGTTGCATTGTGTGGASACGGAGTCAGTGTGAGCATTGATTTATTTCACTGCCCAGGAAGAGTGTAGRGTACTCAACTTTTTGCTATTTTTGCCTGCCTTTTTCAGTTGTGAAGTTTTGGGGGTAGTGGCTGTTTTCACTATTATTACTTTACTTTTATCCATGGAGAACAATATTAATGGTTCTGGTAAGAATAATAATTGCTTATGATGCGATGAGTAGTTGTCTCACTTGACAATAGTGAGAGAAACCAGGTATGCACAATTTGTAATATGATAACAAGCCTTAAATAGGAACTTTGTGTTTCATTTTAACTTGAATACACACAGAAATTCATAGTAGAATTCCCCCAAGATATSACTTGCCCTCTGGCGATGTTTTCTGGTGGCCTTGCATGGTGATACAGCTCCTCATTCTGATTTGGCATCCCAGTCAAGGATGCTTAAATTAGACAGGGAGAATCTGAGTCCAAGTTTGACATGTGTGCTGTTTCTGTAGTTGGACAGTGACAGTGATAAAATTAAATCCTAATTAGTATATGATGTGACCTCCTAAGGTTTTCTGTTGTGTTTCAGGGGCTTTTTGTTTTTCTGAAGTGATGTTGCAGTGAATGGGAGGTCTAAGAGAGTGGTTATAATAATTTTTAAAAAAGGCACCTCATTGACTTGTTTGTATTCTTTGTATTTTTCAAATAGCATCTGAACCTATTTCTTTGAAAAACTTAAAAAGACGGTCACAGTTTTTTGAACAAGGTAAACCAAAGAGCTAAATTTCATGTACTTCCATGAAATTGTTCCTACTGCACACTCTCCCTAACAAGTCTGGTGCTGGGTGCTCTACCTCTTCAGCGCTGTTTGTTGCAGTTACAGTGAAGCAACATAATTAATTTCCCTTCTTTCCCCAGGGTCATCAGTTTATTCTTACAATTCATGGGTCTACCTTTGTGGTAATGGGTCTTTGCGTGTTCTCTTATATCTGTAGCTGTTTAAATCTCTTCTGTGTTGTTCATACTTTTTTTTTTCCACTGGGTAGAAGTAAGAAGGATGGCACTCTCTGTTCAGGTTTGCTACTACCTACAAAACAAGAATAATGGTGAATATTCCAGCAGAGGTTTAGAGAAGATCTCAGAGCTGTTGATAAAATCTTTAACTCTGAATTTGAGTTGCAGCTCTGTTCTTTTGTGTAAATTGGTGTAAAAAGGTATCTGCTGGCTTTCCATCATGTGGTGATGTCAGAAGATCCCAAGAAGATCAATATAAATTTTGAATTTAATATGCAAGYTTTTTTWWAAAAAAGGCAATAAAAAAGGCAATAAAACAATTTTGGTTTTGTAGGTTGCTTTTCAGCATTTTGCATGTCACAGCTCACATACTTCCACTAATGTYGTATGTCTTATGCTGTCTTTGGGCTATGTATGCCTTGCTGTTTTGCTGTAGCCTGAAAGAGTGAAATTCTGCCCCACTGGAAGTTCAGTTGACTTTTGCCAATGATTTGAGTGGGGCCAGGATTTCGCTTTTAGTGGTGATGACTTCTGTTTTTTTTGCCAGAAGTGATATGTGAAGTGCCACAGCATATATCTGTGTTTGTGGTTCTGTTTGCTTTTAAATACTTCTGCTGTATCTGCAATATTTTGTCTGCAATATGGTGGTTTTTTTATTGTTGGCTGCTTCATTGGTGTTGGGGTTTTGCTTTTGTTTGWTTTTTATTTTATTGCTGGCAGAAATTTGGTTCTTATTTTAATTTAGCAATATTTCAGGTATTTCACTTTTGCTTGAGGGGGAGGACAGGGTTATATTTCTAGAGTGTATGTTCAGTACAGTTTTGTTAATTTTAAACTTTTGACACTTCAGCTTTGCAATTACATGAAAGATTCCTGTGGAGTTCAGCACAAACTTACACGAGTGAGAGAAGAGGGGAGCAAAAATAGGTGCTGTCTATGCTTCCCTTTAATATTGCCTGACACAATTGCAATAGATCAAGCGGATTGCCTGATTTTCACTGTGGCTGTTGTGATCTGATAGCGAAGACAAAGTTGTGCAATATGTAAAGTGGAGGCTAACTTGTGACTCATTAGATGTCTTTTGAATCCTAAATTTGATCTTTTTTCCGCTTCAAGGTTGTACTTCAGAAAACTGTTGCAACTTTTTTCTTTTATGCTTTTTTTTTWAAACTTAAATTTGGACAGCTAGGTACCAAGTACGCCGTCAACAAACAAAAATAGTGGTTGTGCTTAAGAAATTATTATACTTGAATTTGTGTTTCACCCCATTTTCTTGACTTTTAATATATTAGCATAATATAYATCTCTCTCAAATAATCATYTTGGCACAGGATGATTAAGATCAARGCCAAGTGTGATACCCTCAAATAGTAAAAGGTTTGTGGTGAATGGTGACAAGTTCACTGAGTTCAAGTGTGCTTTTGGAAGTAAGAAAGGAGAGCTGGAAAGCAGAAATACATGGTTTTGTGGTAGAGARGTTGCCAGTGGATGTCAGTTGCTCTTCATTCATGCCAAGGGCAGTAGGTGAATAACTTCTGTACCCTGRGGCAGTGCTCTGGCTGTTGGTGATGTTCAACAGTTGGGTTTTGCCATAATAATAGGAGAGGGATAATAAAGAACCTTAGTGTGGCTACAGTGGGAGATGTACTGCTAATTCCAGCAATTGCTGATGGCACTTGTCAGCATGAAAAGCTTTTAAACAATTGTGCACATTAGTTGAAAGCACCTAATAAATTCTGTCCTCAAGAAAGTTCAGCAGGGCAAATGCAAGCATGTCTTACTAAGGAAGCGAAAATCAGTCTGAARCTCTGACTTGCCACAGTTACACAAGTCTTGCAGTAGTTATGTATGGGTCTAATGATTTCTCTTTTTTGCCTTCCAAATCTTCCAGGAGGCCCAGAGTCTGCAATACCTGATGTAAGTACCATTTGCTAACTACTAGTTAGTTGTGYAATCCCAGTCTTTTCAAAAAGCTCTCTGCTTTCTATTGCTTTTTATACAGCTTTAAAATTTTGATCAAATCTGAGAGTACTGACTAAGATTTGCTTTATAAAGGAATGGTTGCTTTCTGTATGTTTGAAGAAGAGTCTAATTTATGTCCTTGTCACTATAAAGCTCTGCTGTTTGTAATGGCTTCTATTTCTCACTCTAAAAAGTATATTTTAAAATGTAAAGTGTTGATTACGTGGAAAGAGGATAATATTATTTCATTTCTGTGCTATTTTAGCTCCCAGTTCCATCCATCAGTGCTCCTAGTCGTCGGGTTTGGGATCAAGAGGAAGAACGAAAACGACAGGAAAAATGGCAAAAAGAGCAGGACCGTTTATTGCAGGTATAATTAATCTTCATAATCCTGGGCTGTCAATCCCTTGTGTGTAGCAACAAGGAAAAAAAAGTAGCAAACAACTTCTGCAATTCTTATTGATGGCCTGATGAGACTCTCAGGTGCATTTTCTGGCCTATACAGCTGCAAACAGTAGCAATTATTCAGAAAAAAAAAAAAAAAGGACAATGCTTTAGTGAGCTTCATAAAATCAATCCCACAGTGTGGATTCACTACTGCCAGAAGTGCTCAGTCTTCACAGAGCTGGTATGTTCTTACTGACTGCAGAATTTAAAGGACAGATGAAGAATTTTCTTTTGAATGTGAATTTTATTTTTTTCCCCTTAAGGAAATTGCCTCTAGCCTGAGTTTTATCTTCAATTAGTGATACTGCCTTCTATTCATATATGAAGAGGAGGCAGCCAATACTAGGGTTAGGTGCGTGCCAGAATCCTGTGATTTAGCAGCTCATCAGCTGGAATCARGCTGTTTCTCAAGACCTCTATGAGTCAGGAAGCTGAACCTGCTAATGCAAAACCCTCTTGCTAACCACTTGCTGGAGCTGGAGGGATGTGTTGCTGACAGAAGGGGCGTTGTTTGTAGCCTTAGGATAGCACCAAAAATCCAAGCATGTGTCTCTGCAAAGACTTCAGCCCAATGCAATGTGCTTACACGTTCAGCCACATTCGGAAGGACTTTTCTCTGCAAAATAAAGTTTGTTGACTGAAGTCTGATGGTTAGGAGAGGCATCAGTGCACATWATTTACTCTGCACAAGCCCTCTTTGGCTGTATTCAGCGGGAAGCTGTGATGTCAMAGTACAAGCATAGAAGCTGTGTTGCTTTTTGAATGTTTCATCTTTTGTTGTTTGTAGCTTGCAAGTTCTTCAAGGCAGCTGTACCTTCCTAAACTTAGCTATGGTCTCTTTTATGGTTTGGATGTTCCGTTTGATACCTAAARAGTAGGTATCAATATACCTAAAGAGTAGAAACCTTGGCTCCCCTTTCTTGAGAGCAGACTCAGCTGTCTGCCATCACTTTTCTTTTCTTTGTTTCTCCTTTTTTAGTCCTGAAGTGAAAAATTTCACCAGAACAATAATGATCTTTCTCTTCTCCATGGTCCTAGGAATGAATTTTCAAATGACAAAAAAGGTCAACAAAGTCTCTTCRTTTATTTCCAGCATCTTAGAAGGAATACTTCTGACATTCTTAAATATTTTGCTTTTCCCAAGATAAAAATGGTGACTGACAAAACCACCAAAACATTTACTGTGTGCTTTGAGCAATGCTTTAAGACAGTATATTGTTTTCTTACCAAATCTAGTCAAAAGATGAATTTCAAAGTCCAGAAACTGGGATTTGTTTAGGTAACTTTTTAAAAGAATGAGAGTTCTTGCTCACTATTTCACTTAGTGATCTCTTTATATTTTCCATATTAATATGACTAATTCCAAGTTAAATACAGCCACTGTGTTTTTCCAGAAATACCTTAGATAGCTGATGTTTTGTTCAAATGGTAACTAAACTGGAGGACAGGGTCTATTACAGATACGAAGTCAGTTGTTGTGAGACTTAGTGTGCAACAAGCCTGGATTCTCAAAATTCAATTACAGAACTCCTTTGGATTGTACRAGACAGAATTTCATTTGTGGCAGACCTAATGTTCTAGTGGAACTCAGGAATGGTTTTTGTCTGGTTTGTTTGATTAGATAAAAAACACATTAAATTCCAGTAGTCYATTTTAATGAAAATTAAAAAATACAATGTTTCTTATTTTCATGTTAACTTTAATCCAACCTAACAGGAGAAATACCAACGGGAACAAGAGAAACTGAGGGAAGAATGGTTACGAGCTAAGCAAGAAGCGGAAAAAGAGAGCTCCAAGTATTTTGATGAGGTAGGCTGTGAATAAAGCTTGGCTGACTAGTTTCATGAGGGCTATTTTCCCTTATATTTGATACATACAGGCAGGCAAATAATTAGGYTTTTTATGTAATTTATCTTCTCATTTTGGAAAATAAAATGCTGTTCATGACTTGGTAGAAAGAGATTGCAAAAATGGGATGGAAAGAGTAGGTGGGATGTTTTGAGATCTGTTGAATTTGTCTCTCTATCTTATGGACTGGTTAACACCAAAAATACGTTGGCAAAAAGTTGCAGCATGCATTAATTATTGTGAGCATAAATGGTCACTTTTAATTTATTTAACAGTGACCATCATAAATGTCACTGTTTATTTACTGTCTGATGCTACTTAGCTGGAATTCTGCTTCAGTATTTTATCACGAACCATGTTCATAAGTGTCTGGCTTGTTAGTGGCAGACAGTTCATCTAATAAATTTACATACCAAATCAACCTCAGAGTTCCAATCATACATTTTAAAACATGAATGCCTGTAGTTTCTCTAGATGCTGACTTTTGTAGCTGTTGTTATGGGAAGATGAACGAGTTTCTTCCTGAATATGGAAGCTGTCTGAGCTATTTCTTCTTTACTGCTAAGTGGGTGCTGCTTCAGGCATCCAAACTAGATCAGTTGTGTTTACACAGTCATGAATAAGGAGACCATAATTTAAGGCTTAGGACTTTAATAAGAAAGCTTTCTGAGCTGTTAGAGGACTTTGTTATACACGAATGTAAACCTTTTTTTTTTCTATCATTAGACGTTTTAATAGACCCATAAACATTATTTTCCCCTGCAACTAAAACATCTTTTGACCACAAAAAGGCCTTTTCTCATCTTTGAGAGAAGAGTCATAGAGTTGTAGGTCTGAGGCTTGACTTTGAAATGGTGGGAGAATGGCCGAGAGTGGGAGATTCCTCCACATGAGGATTCATGTGAAATTCATTGGTCTGATATAGATTGCAGTGTATGTCTTTGTGTATACACTCTTAAGTAGGTCTCAGGTTTCTAAGTCAAAACAGCAGGGACAAACGCTGGGTATCATGGAAGGGTTTGTTTTCCATGGGTGTTTAAGTGGGGAAGGGATGGCTTGACATGTAAGTGATACTTTAGAAAGCAGAATGTTTCACATAGTTGTGGCTGTGCTGCCTGTGGCGCTTAATAAGGCTGGTGTGTGGAATGAGGCTCTTGAGTTAGAAGAATGTGAAACCAAACTGTGCCCTGCCTCTTGCACTGGATGTGCTGGGGGTGATTTTCATCCATTTTTACCTTATAAAATAGCTTTTCTGAGTGAGCAACCTRTTTAAAAACCAGGTCCCTTCCCTAAAAAAACATGATTTATTTTTCTTTGTTACAGGAGCAGACCGTTCTAACCCAAAATACAGCATCGGTCACTTCTCAGGCTCCACCTTTGTCCAGTTGGAGAGCAAGCCCTGAAGCAAATATTCCTGAGGAGCCAGAAAGAGACGGAAGAAACGAGCTGGCAGCAAGCTTGCTGCATGAGGAAGAAGGAAGAAGGAGGCTTCAGGAGGAACAGAGGATCCGGGAAGAAGCAGCGTTGCGTTTTGAGCAAGAACGGGAACTCCAAGAGCTGGAGCTGGAGAGACAGCGCAAAGAGAGGGAGCAGCAGTATGCTGAGGAGCAGAGGCGGCAGGCAGAGATGGAGGAGCAGAGGCGGCAGGCGGAAAGGCAGAAGGAGGTGTCAGCAGAGGTGCCTCAGTACCAGAGGTGAGCACTTGTGATAGGATGCACTTCCTCTTCCTTCTGCAAATTCAAAGCCATTTCCAACAGGCGTGTGTCTGTCCTGAATATATAAGGATGGTGGTGTAAGATTCATACTGGAATCAGTTGGTGCAAAATACCATACAGTAGTCTTTCTTCCTTAAGCCAGAAGGATCAGGCATAACACAAAGTCCTTCCCTAAGAATCAAGTGCTATACTAACCTACTTCAGCTCTTTCTTCTTTTTTTTTTTTAGTGGGATGTGTAAATACAGTAATTATAGCCAAATGAAAGATGATCTGAAGCACTTAATGAGCAGATTTTGTAAAAATTGTGCACAAGCCTGTAAATTGAGAGCCAGTGACTCAACATACAGGGATTCCAGAAGAAAYACCAAGTTAACACTTTTTCAACAAATGTGTGACTGATTTTTTCCAGATTTCTCTCTCATTTTATTTCATCTGTGTAACAATAAAGCTTAATTGCAATTTAGCTACTGGGTTGCTTTGTCAGTGAGGGATCATGGTAGATGAGTGAACAGTTACTGGCTTACATGCCTATTAGAAATGTACACTGCAGATACATTTTTTCTCTCATTACCTTCCTCATTAGCTTGATTTAAAAAACAAACAAACAAATCCCCACCTATTAGTTTGTGTTCTTGCCCAGAAGTTTTCAGACTACTGTTACAGGAAATAAATCTGAAACAGATTAAACCAGTAACATTTCCTTATTTTGTCTGCATTTACCTTACTGCCTTGTGTATGACTCGTGGTTTCTCTTGAGGTTTTTCTCCTTTTCTTATGTAAGCAATAAGAGATGATTGAAGATAATACATGGCATCAAGTTAAATCTTAGGAGAAGATAATATGATAAAAAACCTGCATGCATTTGCAGAGGAGGTTGTAAGACCCACAGTTACTTTAGGTTAATCTAAATGTCTGCTGTTTGATATGCCTGCTGAGTAAAGCAGAGGCACAATGCTGCAATGGCTGAACAGGTTCTTCTTGGCAGCAGAGCCAGGRGAACTTGACAGTTTTAGCTTGTCCCAGTTGCAAGATAATAGAACTTTGTGCGGTAACTTATTAAGCTGCTGTTAATATCTGCATATCTAAATCCTTGGTACATTCTTTAGTCCATGGGGATTTCATTGCTTCTGAGGTTGCTGCCAAAGGATGTGTTTTGCTAAACACAGGTGGTTTTGCTTAGTAGTAAAGCAGCAAGTTCAGTGAAACTGGGCTTTAAAATATCGCGTGTTAAATATTTGCTATAAGATGATATCCAGAGATAGGACTGGAAATCTGAAATGTTACATAAACACCTGCAAAGGAATGATACTTGCTGCAAAGTGCGCTGAGGGAGGGGACAGGCAGCTAAAGAGCATTGTCTGTGAAACTCTGTGAGTTTATAAACTGCACCTGTGCAATCGTATTCTAGGATAAAACCATTATTTTTAGAGAACTGCTGTCCTTGGACAAAACTTTTCTCCTGGCTTTGAAATGGATGAGATAATCATGTTATCTACTGATGCCCATAATTTTTGCAGCATCTTATGGGATTCTTTTAACACATCTAAWTTTTTTCCATTTTCTCTGGGTATGCTTACTGTTTGCTCAATTTCTGGAAATTTTTTTAATATGTATTTTATCTTTATTTTGCTTCTAGACATTATGAGCGCTATGAAGTGTCTAAAACAATAGAGGAGCGAGCTGGCCATCCTCTCGTTGACAGGTAGTAAGAAATGGAATCAATACTTAATTGAAACATCTTCAGCAAATAACCATTCTGGCATGCATATGTTTGGATTCCTTATCACTTCACAAAAATGTAGTTTCAGGCAGTTTTTCTAAAAACTTTTCTTCTGCCTGCTTTTATCAGTTGTATTTCTGATTGTTTAATTGAAACTCCTTAGAACTTTAACTGTTGGAGGGGGGGTTAATTAATTTTTTTTTCTTAACGATCTATTTTGAATATTTCCCTTAAGAACAATTTATGTCTATGTATGTTTTTTTCTATATATGAACATAATGTATCTTTTTTCTTCCAACAGGCATTATGAGCGTTACGAAGTTTCTAAAACCATTGAGGAGCAACCAGGCCAATCATTTGCTGACAGGTACGTATAATAGTGAATCTCAAAACAGACTATAACATCACCATTTCTGTGTCAGAAAACTTTTAAAAGTCTAATAAACTTCAGTTGTAGCAGCTAAATGTATACTGTGGATTGCTGCTGTGTTTTGCAGTTTTTAGCGCATGTTTTCATATTGAAAAAACAAGCAGCCAAATTTTTGTCAAATTATACACTGTGTTGTAAGCAGAAGTTAGTCAGTGGGGTTCTTCTGGGAGAAACAGAGCTGTGAGGAAGTAAATATGTGGGTGGTATGAGGGTTACCTTGCTGGAAAACAATTGCAGATACTGTTGTGGTTGTGTCATACTCTGCAAACCAAGGCGCAGTCATCCCAGTCAGGGTTGTGCAAACTTGAGAGAGTAAACAAGATGGGAAGGAAGAGGCAGCAGCAGCAGCATATTTATCAGGGAGATAGGGCAACATGCACTTTTACTTTACGCAAGTTATTTTTAAGTTACAATCTCTTACATTACAAATAAAGCCTTTGTTTTGCATCGCAACTCACAGTAGTTCTGAAAGATGACTTCTGCTTTGTGTTTGGTCASTTCTCATAGTTGGAGTGAGATATACCTCTTTTATATAAAGAGTTATACCTCTTTTATATAAAAAGGGGAACTCCAAAACTTACAAGGTGCAATTAATGGATCTGTTACTAATGGAAGACCTAAATCTGACTTCAGAAGGAGCATGCAATRAATAGCTACATCTTGGATACATGTAGGAGGACACTGTTTTTTTTCTTCAGAATAGGCAGCTGTGAAACTGCTGCATCTTCTTAAATAGTTAATAAAATAGGTCCGCACCTTGGGACAGACAATAAGAACTTAGGGATGCAAGATGTGATGTAGTTTATGCTTCATTTATCTACAGATAAAGTAYGAGACTCCCTCAAAACATGGCTATGCAGCCAAAGTTGTGTGTGTAAACATATTAATTAAGCAGCTTTGACTTATGACCAAGKAGAGGATTTCTGTTCCTTTGTGTGTTATTTTAAACTTAAATATTGGCTGTACAACTTGAGACTAATAATACTGCACAGAGGTGTTGTTAAAACTCCTGCTCTGCACTGTCAGAAACCCAACTTTTTGCCATTTGTCTTTCTGTATAYGACATCTGTTGAATGACATTTCTTGGCTAAAACTCATTAAAAAATTATGCTGCTAGATATAATCAGCGAACAATGTATTTTTCCAAGAACAATCTTCATGCAGTATTTAAGGAGGTGCTTTGCTTACAGTCTAGTAGCAGTGCTGAAGTATGATTTAAGTTTCTCATGAAGCCAAATCAATTATAAATCTGCTGTAGAAGTTCTCACTTCTTTGCCTAACTGTAGTCTTCACAAAGYTTCCACAGGAAAGGACTTGGTTTTTGGCATGTTTTTGCTGAAGCAAGTACAATGATCAGTTCCTTATATCCAAAGCACTGACAGCTTTCACTACAAAATTTTAGCTTTTAATTGGTAACTATCTGCTGACATCTACATATTGACATATTTTTTCCCCTTAGTATCCTCTTGGTCTTTAGGTGTTTTTTGCCTCTGTTTTAAGTACAGCGTAAGTTGCTGATGGGACAGATAGTGACTAAAAAGACTGTGGTTCTATGGTCTGCAATGATAAGAACTTTGTGATGAGGTATTCTAATTAAAAGAGAGAAATTAATGTTTTCTATATCCTTAGGAATAAGTCAAAGTCAACTACAGAACTGAATGAATTCAACACAATCAGAAATGGTAAGTACTGTATAATTTCCATGATATTTAAATTTTTTGGGCAGGGAGGGAGTTGAGGGACTAGGAGAAAAAAAAATAAGATTTTTACATATAGTCATTATGAGAAAATTAATTGTCAGTGCTTTCTGATAGCTGCATTGTAAATGCCCCAATTTAATGAATTTTCAACAGCAAGAGGAAATTCACACCATCAACATAAAAGCTTAGGGCAAATATAATTGACTTGAAGACATCAGTAACAGTGATTACAAATGGATCTAAAATGCCTAAATGTTAATGACTGATATTTACATGAGATTAAATCACTCATGCAGTTATATCTTCAATGATGTATGTGGTTTTGATACTTTGACTCTGTCAACAAAAAAATAGTGGCACATACCAAGATGCTGAATACATTTAATACAACTTTTTTGTCCTCAGTGTAGCAGTAKCAGAGCAAGAAATCAGGTCTTGATACTGTCACAGTGTCGTGTGTCCTGGACTCCAGCTCAATTACGTTATTTCAGTTATATTAGAGGAATATGGGGAAGGCAAACAATCCAATTTTATAAATATGTGACAGTCAAAAATGCCTGCAAGCTACTGTTGTGTCTAAAACATGGTGAACAAAAGTAATCACAAATAATCAAATTAGATGTATTAGAGGATATGTTGCAGATTAAAAATGTAGCTTTCACACATTAAAGCACAGTCATTGAAATTAAAGAGCAAGTGAACTTCCAGTGTTTTACGGTGATAATCTATGGCAATAAATCRAAGAGCAAATCTATAGTCAGAGCAGCATTTAAAGGGATTGAAATTGCAATTGAATGACTTATTGCTGAGTAATTTTTTAAWTWWTTTT